CTGGGCCTGGCTGTGCTTGGTTAGAGTGGGGGGCCGGGGGGCTGGGATGCCTGGGTGCTATCCCCAGCTCTGGGAGGGGAGTGGGGTCTAGTGGTTAGAGCAGGGAGGCTGGGAGTCGGGCCGCCTGAGTTTTATCCCCAGCCCTGTGAGGACAGTGGAGTCTAGTGGTTAGAGCAGGGGGGCTGGGAGCCAGGACTCCTGGGTTCTATCCCCAGCTCTGGGAGGGGAGCAGGGAGGACTGGGAGCCGGGTTCTATTGCTGCTACTGACTCCCTGTGTGTGTTGAGGGGCATGCTGCTTCCCCCATCACGTGCCTCAGTTTCCCCCCAGCATAGCACAGGGCTCATCCTTTGCCCTCCCTCCCTTGTCACCGTATGATTCTGCTTCTCTGCCCCCCAGCTGGGACGTCGGCCCTGCCCACATCATCTCCTTCTCCACCGAGGTGTATTTCTACCTGAACTATGGCCGTCACCTCGTCCAGGAGCAGTACCAATGGCTAGAGAGAGACCTACAGGTAGACCCACGCCCCCAGTCCCTAGCCCTCCTGGCTGCCCGCCCGCCCAGACTGTCTCGCTCACAGACTCTCTCTCCCCCCCTTGGCGGCAGGAGGCCACGCGGCCGGATCGGCGCCGGCGCCACCCGTGGATCATCACCATGGGGCACCGGCCCATGTACTGCTCCAACAACGACCTCGACGACTGCACGCAGCACGAGAGCATCGTGAGTGGGGCGGGGGGGGCGCTGCAGAGGAGGGAGGCGGATGCTCTTGCACCCAGCGGGCAGGGGGAGGCGGGCGGGGAGCTGAGTGGGGACCGGCAGACTGATCCAGGGAGGCCATTCCACGTGGCGGGGGGGGGGACCTCGCTGGAGGGCCTTAGAGAGAGAATGTGGGGTAACCCGCCAGGGCCCCCTCCAGCTGCTGATCCCCCCCCCCCCCGCTGTCTTTCCCCTCAGGTTCGCCGAGGGCTCCCCCAACATCTGTACGGCCTGGAGGACCTGTTCTATAAATACGGTACCCGCTGCCCATCCCTCCAGCCTCCTCTGGCGGCGCCCCCTAGGGGGGAACCTGGGAAGCTCCCCCTGCAGAACGTATGCTGGGGCTGTCAGCTGGAGCCCCGGGGCAACAGGAGGAGGGGAGGGGTGACACCAAGGCGCTTTGGGGGCTCACTCCGACCAGGATGGGCTTCTGTCACCCCCTGAGTGCCTCTGTGTCCGGCAGCCCTGGCCCAGAGCCCTGCCCCCAGCAGCCGTGGGGATGAGCCAGCCTGGGTACTGATGCAGGGAGACCCCAACGGCCCAGTCCCTCTCCCCGGACACTCCCGGACGGCAGCGACAGAGCCCACACAGAGTCCTGAGCCGGTGCTGTCCTCTCTTCACCAGGTGTCGACCTAGAGCTGTGGGCCCATGAACACTCCTACGAGAGGCTGTGGCCTGTCTACAACTACCAGGTGACTCCTGATTGGCGGGTGGATGGGTGGGGGTCTCTCCGGGGTCGCTGTCCGGCCTGGTTAGGGGATTCAGTCCGAGATCTGAGTCTGAAACGACCCCGTCTGCCTTCCCCCGCTGCAGGTCTACAACGGCAGTGCCAAATCGCCCTACACCAACCCCCGGGCGCCCGTCCACATCATCACCGGATCGGCCGTAAGTGACAGCTGGGACCCGAGCCTGGTAGCGCACCCAGCACCATCCGCCCATGCCAGCCTCTGCTCGCCTTGCGAGTCAATGGTGACGCCTACCGCTGACCGCCACGGGGCCGGGTGTCTCTGCCCGCGGTTTAAGGGCCTGATCCCGTTAAGCGCCAGACACCTCCCAAGTGGTGCTGAGTGCCCTCGGATCCCATTGAAATTCAGTGCGGGCGCTTCCAGGATTGGGGCTTAATTTAGAGGCCTGTTGGGGGGGTTAGTTTAAGGGCAAGAGTACGAGGAGCGGAGCCTGATCCTGTCCTAGGACAGTCCTGCTGCGTGGGGGTGGGGCAGGATTGGGCCCCAGCTGCCCAGGGGATGGATGGAGGAGTGGGGAGGGGGCAGTGAGTGTAAGAGGCTCCATGAGAAGATGGAGGGATCGGGGGAGGAGACGTGAAGCTGGGAGCAGGCTGAGAAGAGGGAAACTGAGGCACGGGCAAGGCAGCAATTCGCCCAAGGGCATCGGGGTCTCCATCCAATGCTCTATCTGCTAGGCCGCGCTGCCTTGAAAGGGTAGGGGGTGGAGGGATTGATGTGCAGCGGGAGGAGGAGTTGAGCTGGGTCCGCCCCCCCCCCACATGGTCATGCAATGGGCTCTGCCCCCCTCCCCTCCGCAGGGCTGTAAGGAGAGGCTGACCTGCTTCGTCCCCAACCCACGGGAGTGGAGCGCCATGCGCATCGAGGACTACGGCTACACGCGCCTGCAAATCCTCAACCGCAGCCACATCTGGCTGGAGCAAGTGTCCGACGACCAGGTATGGCACAGCTGGCGGATGGACCCCGCAACGCCCACCCCGTCCTGCCCGGTCCGATCGCGGCCTGGGCAGGCTCAATGTGCGTTGCACTGTGCAGTGGACCCATTGCAGGGGTATCTGGGCACTGAACATTAACCACTAGACCCCACTACCCTCCCAGAGTCCTGGATAGAACCCACGCATTCTGACTCCCAGCCCCCCTGCTCTAACCACTAGACCCCACTCCCCTCCCAGAGTCCTGGATAGAACCCAGGCGTCCTGACTCCCAGCCCCCCTGCTCTAACCACTAGACCCCACTCCCCTTCCAGAACCAAGGATAGAACCCAGAAGCCCTGACTCCCAGCACCCCTCTGCTCTAACCATTAGACATCACTCCCCTCCCACAACTGGGGAGAGGACCCAGGAGTCCTGATTCCCAGCCCCCCACCCCCAGCTCTACCCACTGGGCCCCCCCCCCCGATAGCTCCCACCTGCGCCCAGCTGTCTGCACACACCCTGTCCAGCGTCACCACCTGGACAGCTCCCGCCATAGCAACCTCTCCCTGAATCTTAGTGGCACCCACAGGGTGTCACCACGAGGCAGTAGCAGAGAAGGGAAACCCTGGGGGTAAAGCAGCCCTGAACTCTCCTCCAGCCTAGGGTGGGCAAAGTCTGGAGCTGGGCGGCTCTGGAGAAAGGCACGGGAAACATTTGGGCTTGTCCAGCTCCAAGCGGCTATAGGGGGAAAGCAGGGAGGGGAGTGGGGTCTAGTGAGTAGAGCGGGGAGGGGGGCTGGGAGTAGGTGCCGAAGGCTGTTGGGAATCTGGCTCCTGTGTGGCGGGAGCCGGGCGGGAAGCCGGGCAGATCCCTGCTCTTTTGGTGGGTTCACACTGGAAACATGCCTGAGCCATGGAATCCAGATTGGAACCTCCCAGAGTCCTCCGCACCTCTCTCTAGAGCAGCCTCACCTTGAGTTCAAACCCTCAGGTCTTGATTCCCAGCCTTCCCTGCTCTAAGTGCTAGACCCCACTCCCCTCCCAGCGTTAGGAGTAAATCCAAATCCGGGTAGCTGCGGTTTGCTCAACGTGCATGTTTCCTTCGTTAGAAATGTGATCACCAACTTCATTTGAATCCTTAATCGGTGCTTCAGATCAAGGGGGGGTGCGGGGGAAGGGTTTGGTGAAATCCAGAATGTGGGAGGGGAAATAGCTGTAGAGATCTGGGGGGATGAGGCACATCTTCATGCCCCTGGGGATAGACTGCAATCCCACCGCTGCCACAAGTGTGAACTTTCCCCCTTTGTGGCCCCAATCCATCCCTCCCGTCCCCATTCCCGACACGTTGCCATAGACCCGCCCTGGGTTCTGAGGCTCCCCATGAAGCTCGTCTGGGTTCTGAGCAGTAAGGGAACGTCCCCTGGAGCCACCCCTGAACCCGAGTCCTGGTTTTGTCTTTCAGGACGGGAAAGTCGTGGATGGGATCTGGCTCATCAAGGAGTTGCACGGCCCCAAAGCTTGGCATTAGCCTGGCAGGAGGCCCCAGCCCTGAGTTGAGCAGAGGGACTGCGTCCCCAGGACCCCCTGAAATCCTCGTTATCTGGCTGGAGGCAGAGCTCCCTGCGGGGCTACAAACGAATCTGATCAAATCCAAAGGCCTCTCTTGCAGGCCCTGATGTATGTCACTGGAAGGACACGCCTGCCCCTGCAGCTGGGTCTTTATGACGGTGAACAAGCGCTTTGCTGCAACTGAGCGTATTAGGTCTCAGAGCACTTTATACGGGTGGGGTTGTGTCTGTGTATTCCCAGTTTATAGACGGGGAAACTGAGGCACAGAGCAAGGAAGAACCTTGACCAAAATCATAGATGTAGGGTGTCTTGCTTTCCATTCGTCCCTGCCCTAATCACTAGATCCCATTCCCCTCTCAGAGTCAGGAATAGAACCCAGGAGTCCTGATTCCCAGCCCCCCGCTCTAACCACTACAGCCCACTCCCCTCGGCAGGAACAGAACCCAGGAATCCTGATTCCCAGCCCCCCTGTTCTAACCACTAGGTCCACCCCTCACCTCTATGATGTCAGGAATAGAACCCAGGCATCCTGACTCCCAGGCCTTTGTTCAATCCACTGGCCCATTCTGCCTCTTACCGAAAAAAACCCATAGAGTTAAAATGTTCTCCAGATTCTGCCTGAGGCATCTCTGCCTCTCGAATCTTTCTAGCCCTCAGACTGTGTGTGGGGGGGAAGGGGTGCCGGGAGCTGATGGTTTTCTTTCCTTATTTGTTCTTTCCTCCATGAGCTGACCCTAGTACCAGGCCTTCTCCCCTGCTGCTGGTCCCTGTAATGCAATAAGCCCCACACAGAGCTGCAAGGCGGCAAGGGATGGGGCTAGATTTGCCTTTCGCCATCAAGCGTGGCCCACGGTACATCTCTGAGGTTCGCTGTACGATCCTTAATGCTTCGAGCTACGCGCTGGTTCTTTTGTATTGATGCTCTGGAAATGAACGACACAAAATCAAGCTCAAAAGGTGTGCGATGCCCATCTCCTTCAGACGCCGCTTGATTTGCCTTGGGTGCCTTGAGTGTTTTAGGGCCAGATTCTTCTCCGGTGTAAATCAGGAGGCGCCCCCTCCAAATCCTTGAGTCACAGAGAGGAGACTTCGGCTTTGTCACCGGCCCATTTAAGGGGAGGCGGGCTCAGCCCCACCTGGGACTGACCAGATGCCTCCTACCTGAAGCTGGGTGTAGAGGTCAGGTGATGGCCTGAGGAGCACCTGGCCAGCAAGGGCTCAGGTGAGGGGACGGATGGCAGGCAGGCAGTCCGGTTTTATGGTGTCTCCCAGATAGGTGGCTGGCACAGGGAGAATTTCCGGGAGTCTCTGGGTCCATGCGCTGGCTGCGAGGGGTGTGTGTGTGTGTGTGTGGGGGGCGGTGTCGTCTAAGTTTTCTGATTACGGATACAGAGTGCCCTGCGTCAAGGGTGTCAGATAGATGCTGCTGCAGCCTCTCTCCTCCATGGGCCGGTGTGAGAGCCTGCTGGCTCCCAGGTTCCTCCTAGATCGTTGCTCCAGTCGGGGGCGGGCCAATGCTAGGCCAGATTTCTGCTGCCCTTTGCGGAGAGCCGTGGGGAGAGTTCGTTCTTTCCCCACACTGACATTGGCAGCCGTGAGGTACTGCCCGTCTCGCTGACCAAGACTGTCTCCCTGCGCTCCCACATCGGTCCCACCTCTTCTCCTTGTCAGCCGTTTTGGAGCAGGGACCGTGTTTTTGTTCTGTGTTTGTACAGCGCCTAGCGCGATGGGCTCCGTGACTGGGGCTCCTCCGTGCTAAGGCAGCTCAGAACCTGGAGGACGAAGGAGCTCAATCTCCTGTCTGGGCTTTGATAACGGTGTAAAAGTCACTAGCCTGCGTTAACTGTTTTAAGCTATTGGCTCCTATTAAGAGAGACTGAAAGACGGGGACTTTTCACCTTGGAGATGAATAAGAGGGAACATGGGAAAAATGGGGAAAAAAATAGTGGGTGCTCAGCACCCACCAGTCACAGCTGTTTGGCGGCACCCCCGATTAGCTGGGGGAGGGGTTTGGGGGAGGGCAGAGAGCAGCAAGTGGGTGGGGGTCTCGGGGAGGGGGTGGGAAGAGGTGGATGAGGGCGGGGCTTTGGGGGAGAGGGGTAGATCGGGAGCTGGAAGAGGCGGAGTGAGGGTAGGGCCTCGGAGGAGGGGTGGAGGGGGGGCAGGGCCGGGGGACAGAGCGGGGGGGCAGCACCCCCGGGGAAAAGAAAACCTCAGCGCCTATGCCTTTTTCACCCGTTAGCCGGTGGAACTCACTGTCACATGATCTCCTGGAGGCCAAGAGTTTAGCAGGATTCAAAGAGCGAGCAGGTATCTCGACTGAGAACCCAGCTCACCGGCGTTAGCTTAGTTAATGCTAGACTTTAAAAAAGATCCCTAGGTAGGCTCTAGTTCAAACAGAAATGAATTCAGGGACGTCCGATGGCCTGGGTTATGCAAGAGGTTAGACTGGCCCCTTCTGGTCCATCATCTCTGAATGAGGCAGCTGAGTGCAGAATGGCTCCAACATCAAATCAATTCGATGGGAGGGTTGTATGGCTGTATATATACCTGGGCAGAATAAAAGCAAATTCATTACTGCAAGGTCCTCAGCATACCAGGGCTTGGTTTGCCCGTATCTGGTAGAGAGATGGGGGAGGGACAGCTCAGTGGTTTGAGTATTGGCCTGCTAAACCCAGGGTTGTGAGTTTAATCCTTGAGGGGCCATTTAGGGAACTGGGGTAAAAATCTGCCTGGGGATTGGTCCTGCTTTGAGCAGGGGGTTGGACTAGATACCTCCTGAGGTCCCTTCCAACCCTGATATTCTATGATTCTATGAACACTCTGCTTGGGTAGTACAAGAGAGGCACCTTCCTCGCTAAGGCCCCTGAAATTCTTTAGGCTGCTGGTTTACACAGAGTTGAGTACAAGAGCAGGGCTTCAATTTTGCCTTTCCATGGGGTCGTTTGAGCTCGTTAGCACCGTTCTGTATGGGGCCCTGATGAACAGGACGAATTAGTAAAGCATTCCTAGAGCTTTTGGTTAGGTTTTGCCAGGGCTATAAACCCTCATGCTTCAGGGCGTGAGCTGCCCTCTAACTATGGGGGTCAGGAAGGGACTTCCCCAGGCTGCAGGTGACTCCAGAATTGTCCACTGGGTGGGGAAAGGTCTCTTGCACCTTCCTCTGAAGCCGCTGGGAGGCGGCAGAAGCCTGGGCTGGGGTGGCTCCGTGCTCTGAGCCAGCCTGTTCCCAGTAGGGTAGGAGCCGTGGTGGGTGTGACGTTGTGCAGTCTATATGGTTTTATAAAAACATGATGATAAGTGAATATAATGTAACTGGGATAGTTTTAGAAAAATATGGTAATAAGTGAATATAACGTAACTGGGATATGCTTCATGCAAAAGGTCTCTTGTAAGGTATCATTACAAAGCTTATAATCTACTGAGTATGATCATCTGATTTGTATAAATGTACCACTCTTGTATCTAAAACTAGAAATATAAAATATAACTCTGAGGGTCTATTGTAATTATGCCAAGTGTGGGCCATTAATGATGGTTTGGAATCTTGATGACTCCCATTAACAAGGACCATTGTCCGCAGATGGCTGTGTTTACCTGTGAGTCTTCCTGTATGTGTGTGTGCTGGCAAGTGGGCAATGAAGTCTTGCAGTGACGTGATCATGTCACCTGAACTGGAATCCATCTTTAACCTGGTGCTTTTCCATTTAGGAGGGGTGGGAACCCAGAGAGGGATAAGGGATTCCCGCCTTATGCAAAAGATATATAAAGGGGTGGAAGAGAACAGAGAGGGAGAGAGGAGCCATCATGAAGAATCCCCTAGCTACCACCTGAGCTGGAACAAGAGCTGTACCAGGGGAAAGAATTGTGCCCAGGCCTGGAAGGGGTCCAGTCTGAGAAAAACTTACTGAAGCGTCTCTGCGGGTGAGATTATCTGTATTTAGTTTCATTAGACATAGATTTGCACATTTTATTTTATTTTACTTGGTGACTTACTTTGTTCTGTCTGTTACTACTTGGAACCACTTAAATCCTACTGTCTGTATTTAATAAAATCACTTTTTATTTTGTAATTTACTCAGAGTGTGTATTAATACCTGGGGGAGCAAACAACTGTGCATATCTCTCTATCAGTGTTATAGAGGGCGAACAATTTATGAGTTTGCCCTGCATAAGCTTTATACAGGGTAAAATGGATTTATTTGGGTTTAGACCCCATTGGGAGTTGGGCATCTGAGTGCTAAAGACAAGCACACTTCTGGGAGCTGTTTTCAGGTAAACTTGCAGCTTTGGGGCAAGTGATTCAGACCCTGGGTCTGTGTTGGAGCAGACGGGAGTGTCTGGCTCAGCAAGACAGGGTGCTGGAGTCCTGAGCTGGCAGGGAAAACAGGAGCAGGGGTAGTCTTGGTACATTGGGTGGCAGCTCCCAAGGGGGTTTCTGTGATCCAACCCGTCACAGTGGGAATTGCCAGAGGTGCACAGAGCTGGTGGGGAGAAGCTGGTCCCTGCTGCTGGGAGCAGTGTCCAAGGCCTGGCGGTGCTGAAATGAGGCCCCTCCCCACCCTCCAACCTGGCAGGGAGCTCCGGCTCGGGGATGGGGAGCCTGTGCCACTGCTGCCGATGTCCCTGTGGCCTGCGTGCCCTGGGCTGCGGTGGCAACTCCTTCCTGGGTATTGGGGGAAGCAGGGCTCCATGTGGGACTGGGGGGGGGTCACATTAACAGAGGGCATGAAAAAGTTTGGGGGCCCACTGATCTACATAACACAGGCCTTTATGCAGTGACCCCGGTATAGACCCCAATGACTTCCTGTGTGCTGTTCCCATCCGGGCTGCGATGCGCGCTCCATCACTAGCTAAGATGTGATGGATGATTCTACCGCTGTCTCCTGTCCTAAAGCTAAACCCAGGACCTCCAGTCTCCAGGGCACTTTCACCAGCACTAATGCCAGCTATGGATAGGTTCTCCACATGGGGGCGGAATTTCTCTGCTGCTGAGCGTCTCAGAGCGACCTTACCGAGCCCAGGAAATTCATCTGCAAAAGCCCCAGGACTTTGAAATCTGGCTGGCAGCGAAGGTGCAAAGGTTGGCAGAGAATTGGCAATGACCCACGCACACCTAGGAGAGATGCATGGGCAGCGTGCCCCAGGCCGGGGACATTAGGATGGGGCTCTCGGGAATTTATTAATCAGCCATCTATTGCTGTAGGGTTTTCTTGCTAAAAGCAGCTGTGCAATATGTCCAGTGCGGCATGTGTGTGTGTGGATGATCCCCATAATAACTAGCATCAGGGGGTAGCTGTGTTAGTCTGTATCCACAAAAACAACAAGGAGGCTGGTGGCACCTTAAAGACTAACAGATTTATTTGGGCATAAGCTTTCGTGGGTAAAAAACCCACTTCTTCAGATGCACTGACTAGTGCATAACTAGTCAGTGCATAATAATAATAATTAATAACTAGTGTTACTTACACGGCTCTTTTTATCCTGTCATCTCAAAGCACTTGCCAGTGGTGAGTCTAATTTATCACCCTCCCTCCCCCCAAAAAAACCCCACTCCAATTTTGCAGATGGGGAAATTGAGGCACAGAGAGGGGAATTGATCTGCCACAACAAGTCAGCAGCGGAGATGGGTATGGAATCCAGGCATCCTGCCTTGCAACACCCCCTCCCCATTCTTCTAATCATTCTGACTTGTAAACCCCTTTCCAACCACCAGACCCCACTCCCTCCTAGAGAGAACAGAACCCAGGAATTCGGATCCCCAGTCCTCCCCTGCTCCAATAGCTAGGCCCTACTCCTCTCGCAGAGCTGGGCATAGAACCCAGGAGTCCTGGCTTGCCCCCCCAGCCCCCTCGCTCTAACCACTAGCCATTTTGCAGCTCATTTGTAGTCCTGGCAATGCTTCAAGGCTGGGGAATGTGCCGTGGAAATCCACAACTGATTGATTGACCTTTCAAGGGTAAAAAGGAATCAAAAAACACCAAAT